ATTTAAAAACCTAAACTTCTCCAATTCCGCACTCAATTCCTCAAAATTTTCAATCCCCTCAAATTTTAAAATTTTCCACCCCAAAATTCAGTAGCGAAAGGAAAAAATCGGATAATTACAGTTTCTTCAGTTTCAGTTTAGGTCCAATATCTCGGGATCGAAGGAACATAGCGAATTTTCAGCATAGATATTATTTATAGAAAAAGATAAGGACAACAAAAAAGGTATTTATGAAAATATCACTATCTCCCCTGAATTCCGAACAATCGTCAAAAAACGGGCGTCAATAAAAATATCTCAACGAAATTCCAAGATAATTCTTATAGGTCTACATGGTTGAATAACGACGCGTCATTTTTTTTAACCAAACAATTACTTTATGTAAAAACAAGTATTTGAAAATGAAAACATAACAATCAAGGCGAGGCCTTCGAAATCACAATCTGTACATCGTCACTGTTGGCTCGGTGTCGGTTGGATTTTAATGCCAGCCTTTACCTCCAGAAGTGTGATGGAATACGTGTTTGTATATAGGCACATGAACTGCGTATGGCTTTGCAACAGGCACTGGGAATTTCTTATCCACATAAACGGGATATGGCTTTTCCACGATGAAAGGTACCTGAAGTGGATCAACATAAAAAATTCACAAATTCCCGTAACTACCCTCAATTGATAATTCACCATTACATTTTCCCCGACTCCACCCAAATATATTTAATAAATACTGATTTTATAAATCATCCTCATATACACGAAGAGAAAAATACCGGAAAAATTACGGAACTTTTGCGTATTCGTGGGGTGACCTTGCTTTTCGGGAAAAAGTACTGGAGGTACCGTAAAATTGTCCTGAAAGTTTCGTAAAAATTCCTGCTCGCTACGAAAATTTTTACAGAACTTACAGTATTTTTTCCCGAAAACCAAGGTCACCCCACGAATACGAGAAAGTTCCGTAATTTTTCCGGTATTTTTCTTTCCGTGTATCTATATCTAAATTTTATGTACTCCTAAAAATATTTTAAAAAATCGATCGACTGAATTTCTCCGTCTCCAATAATTCGGATTTGAATTCAATTATTTTGTCATATAATTCCACTAAAATTTGAATATTGCTTATTAATTAATTGTAATGAGTATTACCTTCTTCTCGACGACGTAGGGCTCGTGTTTTTCAATTGGTATCTCGACATTCTTGATTACTTCAACCGGATAAGGATGAGGTATGCGGACCTGTACCTGATATGGCTGAGGAACAGGTACCTTGATCTCCTGGTCGACCTTCACAGGTACCGGATGAGGTATCGGTATCGCTGAAATTCCCAAATAGTCATTCTCAACGACGGATAATATTTTTAAAACCTACTTACCATATTTTTTATAAATCGGAATCTCCACAGGTTTCGTTTTTTCCTCGTACGTTGAATGCTCTTGCTCATGATAATCACTGGCTACCGATTGCTCGATGAGAGCAATCAAGCCCAAAAAACAGATCTAGAAATAAATAAATCGATAAACAAACGAATTATTCCAATGATTCCATTGATCTGGACAAACAGCAAGACTTGAATAAAATAATAATTACTCCGTTCACCGATTAACAATTTTAAAATACCAAATTATAAATGATTTAATTGTTATTCCACCGGCATGACTTGTTGAAAATAATAATTACCAAAAATTAGAATGATAAATAAAAAAAGACATGATCCAGACGAAATGACTTGAGTCTTACCAGGGAGCGCATGCTGATGACTCGAGTTGATTCAGAATTCAATGATAAATGTCCCAAGGAGTATAAAACACGTGCTTATATAGTTACAACGAATCTTTCACCTTTCACTGATGAGCGAAAAATAGACTTTCACCCCTTCCCGAAGGGTATGGAATTCACCACCCACCTGTGGAGGAAACAGTGTCATAAGGGCGAGACTCCATGTCCCTCAGTCCCATTTCCTCCATAACGTCCAGGAATTTTCAATAAAAATCAATGGAAATTCCATCAAGATGGGTTGACTTTTCCCGTCCAATAGGAAAGTTCTTGTGGTGAGGTCTCATTTATCCGGTGATATCTTCATTCAGCAAAAAACAACACACGGAAAAACCCGAGTGAAGGTCTAATTTCCAATGCACCCGGAAGTGATACCGAATAATTCTCTCACACGATATACATATCGGGTATCAGATGCATTTCATCTACTCGGGCCGACAGAAAATAGTGAATGTTAGACGATTTATCAACAATCACTCTGATTCTTCTTGTTCTTCACTTCGGTTCTTATAGTGATTGGAGAATGGGCGGAATAATCATAGCCCTGGGTACTTTCACCTGCAAATTCTTTTTCTTTATTAGTGAGTTCCGCCTTTTTCCCTGCAACTGAGCGATAACGATGTCCTGGTCATTTCCACGGAGTGAAATTTTTTTTGTCACTGTTACTTTATTGTTGCAACTGTCGTCGGATTGTTTTTTAGTCTTATTATTTATTTTTCTGACGGAAAGAACACTCGCAGAACATAAATGGTTAATGACTCCTGGGGATGTCGTTAATTTTATTTCTTCATTGTAATCCATTTGTGTTTATATACTATTTGCGGGGTTTATGGGGAGATAATTGGATCGGATGTTGGATCTCTGGAAATAAAACGCAAGAGTTTTTTTTTTTATGTTAAAAAATGGACGTTGTCACTTTATTGTTAGGTACTGGTATTATTTTTCATTAAAAATGCATCATTTTTAGAGGAAATGGAGGAGGTAAATTTGAATCATTTAGTTGGGAGTAATTAACTTCGATTAATGAAGCACTTGGAAGTTGTCTCTTGCATCAATCACAGGGAGAAAAAATGGAGAACCTGAAACGCCAGGAAATTGGAGCCGAAGGGGTTAGACATCCGGGCAGAAGGCAAAGCTTTACCCATTAGTCAATATAAAGTAAATATATACTTCGTATGTATCGTTCCAGGTAAATAACAGGCGCCGTATTTCGATCATGAGAGAAGGAAGGCTTCAATTTTGCAGAATAAATTCCAAAGTTCATCGAGGAGATAAGAAACACGAATGAAGTATTCGAGAGATATCTCCTCCCCTGAAAGCGATAACGACATTTTCGTGAGAATCTTTTCTCCGGGTCTCACTCCGCTCTATAAAAATGTTCCAATGAAAAATTTCGCTATCTCCTCTGGATCCAGAGATAATGCTTAAAAACACGAGAGGAAATCACGTCGACTTGTCATTTTTCGGAATAATAAATACACAGCCGTTTGATACATCAATTGGCATTATTTATTTTAAAGTAATCAACAAATGTAACAGTTCAGAGTAAAAATCAACAACTTTAATATTACTTATTGAACGTAATGAGACTGTGTAACGAGTCGTTAATGACTGTTACTGGGTTGTTTTTAATGATGGGATTTGGCGTGATGATGGATTGTTTTGTAAATTGGAATTTTTATGGGGTAGGGTTTTTCCACGGGGACGGGAATGTGTCGTTCGATTTTGATTGGTACTGGCTTTTCAATTGGGAAGGGGATGTGTTTCTCCACGGGATACGGAATCTTCTTCTCGACAGGAACTGCAACGGTCTTGATGATTTGGATCGGCACTGGCTGTGACACTGGCATCAGGACGGGATACGGTTGAGGCACCTCCACTGGCACAGGATGTGGTATGTGAATTTTCACCGGGTGAGGCACTGGAATCCCTGGAAATATCCCCCAAGCGTCAATTCATCCAGATCCCAAAACCGGATAAAAACGTCACAGCAAGAATAACGATTTTTTCAATTAAAATACCGATTGAATCCAGAAATCGTCGACTCTACGAGATGATATCAAAGATTCAATTTTATTTAATTAATATAAATAATTTAATGAGGATAATATCGAAAGTTTAATCAATCGTTTTTAGCAAGCGCAAGATCAATTAATTTCATATTTTCTCCATTGTTTTTCAAGAAAAATGATAAATCGATAAATCTTCAATCCACCATTTTTCTGAATTATCCATTTACTCTGTACTTTCTTAGTGAATCAATTTTTGTCTCCAGAACGTCTCACTGTGCTCCAGTGGTCGGGAAAAGTTCAGTGTGAAAAATTCAGGAGCGAAGTAGTAGAAGCAGATAAATCGACTTACGTATCCGTTCAGGTCACCGGAAATATCTCCGAAACTGAGAGGGATAGGGTAATTTTTGTAACGACCTTTTCTGTGCCCCTCAATTATCTCTATAAAAAAGGTCATATAAAAAAATGCGTTACGTCCATTAGACTCAGAGATATTTCCGGAAAACCGAGGGAGTAAGAGGATTGAGGGAAATTGGTCGCTTTCTCCGTAATAATTGCAGTTGGGGTGTGTTATTTTTAATGGCTCACCGATTTCTTTGTACACGGGTATCGTTATCGGTTTTGTCACCTCGACGTGCTCAGATATTGGTACAGAATGCACGTGATTATCGACGTGGAAATCATGACCGCCTAGATCGTGACTGTCCTGTGCCTCATGGGTAAACTGTCCATATTGTGAGAAATCGTGTTCACCATCGCCCAAGTGACCCGTCGAGGGTTCGAATCCACCCTGAGCCCCATAATCACCGCCACCGTAGTCACCCCCTAGAGAACTTCGATCCGATCGTGCAATTCTACTCCATTGTCCTTGGATGGGGGAAATATATTCGCCATTATCACTCAACATCATCGTCACCGGTGCTGCCTCCGTCCACACCATCAAATAAATAAGGGACACCTGAGAACCAAATGCATCAATCAATTATTCCACAAAATTCATACCGATCCACCAGACAACCGATTTCACCCCTAATTATCGATTTATCTCGAGAATTATCGATCCACGGCAAAAATGTTGAATGACTTTTTTATAGTCCATCCAATTTCCTATAAAAAAGATTTTTTCACATTTTTTCGTAACATCAATACCCTCTGAGATTTCCGGGTTTTAATTACGACCGATTATCCAGGATTGATTACAAAAATCGAGATAAACCAGAAACTATTGATTGTACAAGAAAATATGAAAAGATTTTATTTATCGAGAATGAAATTTTCCAGAAAAAAGTCCTTTGATGTTTTCACTGCAAATCAACGGTTCTGGGGATAAATCGATAATTGATAAGAGCGAAGTCACTTTATCACTCGACTAGTGAATAAAATCATCTGTTTACTCACTAATCCACAGATGATCTTCATTTTGGGCTTAGAGGAGATTGAGAGCGCAGAAAATCCCTGGTATGACTGATGTATCCCTGGCAATTCCACCGGTTGATATACTATCTCGCCTTTCACTACCAGAATCGGTTTGTTTGTTCTTGTTGTTGGGCCGATTGATTTGATATGTTAAGCTGTTAGATTTTTCCGTTCATATTTAACTAACGGCTATTATTCCACCGCTCATACGCGAGCTATTGACATTTTTCTTATTAGGGGATCGGTGAATGTCTAAAATCCTCTCGCTTTCGATCTCGGGGGGACCTCTCATTGTTTTCCGCGATCGAACGGTCATTTCTCCGTTAATATATAGTTCCACGTTAGTAATGAGGATCGGGATAATTATCGGGATTGGATAATTAATGGCAAATTGATCGTCAAAACCCAATCGGTTTTATTTAATGGTTACATTACGTGTTGTCTACATAAATAAATTAATGCTCAATGTCTGCAATTTTCTTTCATGGAACATTCGCACAATTTGTCGGGAGAATTTGTATTAACTATTTTGTTGTTTATATTTGATAATAAATTATCATTTAACATGAAAAAATTAATTTTCTTTAATCTTCAATGTGAATGATTAATTTAGTGGTGATTTTTCATTGAAAATAATTTCAAACGAATACAATTGAAAATTCTGATGACTCTCTACCTGAAATTTCATGAAATTTTTACCAGCGAATATTTTATGTTAATTATGTGTTTGATATATTCTTGAGTAGTGGGTGCACTGAAAAAAAAAACCTTATTTCAAGATTTCAAATTAAAATTCAGTGGATCATATCCAAAAGTTTGAACTTGAGATTCTCTCGAATTTCAGTTTCAATAAAAATAAAGTCTCGAGTCAGGACGGAAAATCGGAAAAATCTCAAGTTGAAACTGGAAAAATTCTCGGGCTTTCAAAATTCAAAACAATTCTTAAAATAAAGTTTGATTTTTTTGGTGATTTAAATATCGAAGATATGAATTAATGGGAACTACTGTTCTGACTTGGAGATGGTGGTGGGATTTTCCGGTTCGACTGATTCGGGAAATCCCCGGATTTATCGGACACTCTGGATTTACCGGAGGATGCACCATCACTAGATTCATGGGAGGTAAACCTCGAAGGTCGTCGGTGGAGAATTTTGTGACCGAAGGTGGGTCTTCCAGGGAGTCTTTTCTTATCACTCTTCGAGGACTCACGACTGTCGCCACTCACGAATGACGGAGATTCGTGACATTGTGCCCGATTTGGAGTATCATCACGCCCTTTTCTATCTCGACGAGCTTTTCTAGGTCTTGAAGACGTCCTCTCCTGCCCTTTTCGCCGTTCATCAGCGTCACGGGTCTCTGAATCTTCAAAAGCTGTCCCCCACAACAATAAAATCATTATTCAAAACAATTATCTATAAATATTCATCAACTTCATGATTCATCATGATTAAAAAAATTCAATACAAATACCACATTTAATTTTTAAATAATTAATATTAAAACCTATTAATTCTGTGAGAAATATTATACAAATAAGAATCATAAACAAATTATTGTTATGACTTTTATGAGTTCATTTAATTGGATGATAAAAGTTGGGATTTCATTGAAAATAAAAAAAATGAAAATTGCGGAAATCATGCGATTGATCATGTCAATTTATCTTTATGCCTGAAGATAAAAAAAAAATCAGAGTTCAGATAATATACCTTTCTGCTTGTACGATTCCTCGAATTCCCTCTCAAAATCATAGCCACCGTTTTTGTCGTACTTATCCCTGTGATCATTTTCCTCTCTTTTTCTCGAATTTTTTCCCCGCCGTTCATTATGACTTTCACCTTCCTCGTCATTATATTGTTCGTGAGAAGCCGAAACTTCCTCTGACTGATCTTCGGTGACTGATTTCTCATCCTTCTCTTTATTTTCCTCTTCATTCCCATGGGAATCGGGGGAATTGTCAGAATGCCCATCGACTTTTTCTTTTTCCACTTCAGACAGAACTGACGGCGTGTACTTGGCGAAAGTTTTGTCATAATCATTGAATATTCCCGAAGTGGGCACTTCAAACGAATAACTCGTGAATGGGGTCATGAGATGAGTATTGCCAAAGTTACTGGGGATGAATGCAACATCCCTCCCTAAAATGGATAAAAAATCATTCATCTCTCCATCAATTCGTCCGCTCTATCCCAAAATATCAAATAATTTCATATTCCACAATTTCCTCTTTCAAACTGATAAATAATTCACCTGATCCTCCCTAATTAATTAAACAATAACGTATTCAATGATTTATCTCGACATCATCACCACTAAAATATTTTTTAAACTCAATTGCATGATAATAAATAAATTCAACAAGTTAGAAAATTTAAACCAAATTTTGAAAATTTAAAAGTGAATTATGAAATATCACAAAACTATAAAATCAACATGAGAGTATAAGAGATGAATAAATTGACGAAAAAAAATTAAATATTTACACATCTCGTATTTACATTCGAAATTCCCTCGTATTTAGAATTTCGCAATGAATAAATAAATCAATAAATCAATAAATGGATAATCCAGTCCTCAAAATAACCGAATAATAATTCCGTCCGAATTTATTCATAATTCCACGAAAAATAAATATAATTCTCCCCATTAAAGCAATCAATCACAGAATCATGATTTAATTTTCTATCCCAGTAAAATCCATCATTTCCCTCCCCTCCGTAATGACTGGTAATGATATTTATCTTTAGATCTTAATCAAGACGCGTGAGAGCAGGAAAATTCCTAGTGTTCGGGCTTTGAACCCGAGAATTGAAGTCCCCGACCTTTCACTATTCGCACGAGTGATCATGAGGTACTGAGGCAATTCAATCCTTCATACCCTCTTTTATTTCCCAGTGATAGTATGAATGAACGTCCTCGAAGGCCTGAAAAGGAATCCACGAATTTTTGATAAAAAAAAGTGCATGCAGTCGGCGCAATTAATTCAGCAAGTGCTTTAAAAGCCATTCTAAATTCTCAATTGCAACATTCAATTCAATTGATAAATTTCCCTGGTAAAATTCATTAATTATCCCTCACGAGAAGTCGCATAATAATAATAATAATGATAACAGCAATTAATTTAATAATAATAATAATGATAACAGCAATTAATTTTATTTTATCACCTGGTGTACCCCTCCCAGCGACTGGATTTCCCTCGAGGTCATTCTCCATTTCCCCCTGATTCCTGATTTTTCCTGGATTATTCACCTGATGACTGAAATGCAATTGCGGCTGAGAGGACAAGGGCTGATACGGCTGAATGGGTCTTGGGCCCTTTTTGTAGAAAGAATTAAATCCTGGAAATTCTCTGGCTGGAATTCGCACCTGCATCCCCTGATTACCTGAGTAAATCACCGGATAATTCTGGGGTCTTGCCATGAAATTTGAATTTGTTAATCCGAAATCGAGATTTGAATTTCTCGCGCCGCTGGGCTGTGGCTCAATATCGGTGAAGAGGGATTTGGTGTGGCTGTACTTGAAGGGTGGAAATGGTTCGAATTTACCGAGATTTTGCTCCAGACTTGGTGAGAATGTCGGGGGTATGAATGATTGCTCCAGGGTACCTGGAGGCTGATTGTAGGACTGTCCAGTTTCATAATGATAAACTGGAGCCATTATCCGAGACTGAGCAGTAACTTCTGGATATTTCTCGGTGTGTGTTGTGTATGGATCCTGATCTACGACCTTCAGGAAGTTGGGAGGTGTCAGATGATCCTCCTGGACCCCCCGAGGAACCTGAAAAGACCCATCCCCAGAGAATCGACTGTCATTCACTATTTCCTGTGATAAACTGGACAAGTCGTTCACCGTTTTCTCTGGCGCTGGAATACTTCTGGTCGTCTGGTGATGCTGGAGATATCCTCTGATTGTCGTTGGCAATATTGTCGTGGAAAATGGAGATCGTGATGTGATGGGAATTCGTTGCTCTCTCGAGGGGACTGATAACGATCCCGAAATCGGTCTCGAGGTCGATAAACCCGGGACTATCGCGCCTGTCAGCAGCACAGCCTGCAGGATCTGCAGTAATTATTGTTTAAAATGCTCAAGTTGTTATAAATAATCCACATGATATTTTTTATTGCAATTTAATGACTTGAAATGATTTTGCAATGGGAGCGATTGTACAAAAGTACTGAAACACTCGGCAAAATTTCGGGGAATCCCCTCAATTTTTCATAATTGATTTATTCCTTTATTTTTTTTTTTTAAACAATCAATACAAACGTACCCCAGCTGCGCCCATTTTCTCGGTTTGAATGATCGATTCTCACTAAGATGTCGAGAATAAAATTTTCGTCTTTTATATTCCGTTGTTCACTGGCGCAAAACGTCGAAGCGGTTGCCACTTTCGTGAGAATTATCATTCAATTTTTTGTATCATTCCATAAAATTGGTCATAGCAACGAAGCGCAAAATATCTGACCGATTGATAATAAGATTCGGCAATTCCCACGAGAATTTATCACCCAGTGATTGTCGTGGTCTGTCACTCGTATAATTATTCCGTAATTATTTTTTCCGCAACACTCGGAGGATAATCGCGAGGAAAATGAAAAATCTAATAGTCCATGAGGTATACTCCTATTTTCATTATACAGCATAAAGACCCGACCATTTCCGGTAGGAAACGCTAATTAGTTCAGATAGTGAAAGGTGATTCCTACGAATCTGTCAAAGTAACAATTTTTTTTTTTTTTTTTTCATTGCTTGGGTTCTTTTCCTTCGGAAAAGTTGTTCCCTTTTTTTTTTTTTTCATTTTTACTCAGTGGAGGTGAATAAAACGTGGGACGAAATCTGGTGGATAATTTTTTATAAATTACAGTACAGTTATTTATTTATTTACAGGTTATTGGGGCTGTCCTGATGGAGATGCCGTGGACTCACGCGAAATCATCAGTCACAATTGAATTAAACTCGTGAATGACTCGTCATTTCCTCTATACTTTGGCAAGATAATGAACTTAACGTTAATTACCCTGATATTAATATATTTTTTATTAAACAATTGGAAATCGATTCTAGTCTTTCAGATATTTGGAAAAAATCCATCATCAGAATTATTCTCCTCTCTCAATTATTCTCTCGAATTATTTTATACTCTTTTCAAAACGATAATTCATCCCAGGAAATTTAAATAATTAATTATTCTGTAATCCTTCATTTTTCCTGAGCTACAAAGTGTTTCTTGCATTAAAAATTTAATTTATCTCTCCAAAACATCAAAAACCTCCGATCACATAATTTTCCTGTAAAATCTTTCTCTTCAAATTAAAAAAAAAATGGAATATCCATTTTTACCCTGAAGAGCCCCTCCTAATCAATGAATCCCCTTCGACAAAAAATCCCGCGATAACTGAAAGCTATCAATTTTCTTTCTGAAATTCGCAGTCTCCTCGTCCTCGAGTGGCTGATTCTCCACGTGATCAAAAAAATAGCTGGATGCACCATTAGGAAGTTGTTTATTCTTCATGAGTAGTCCCAGGAGATTGTGAACCCTTGGCTGATTAAAATCGATGAAATCCCTGGTTTTCTCGTCACGTGTTCTCGCAAAATCCCGTGGCAATGCGGTGGTAAGACTTGGATAATCCTCACCCTTGATTCCCTTATACTTCTGCGAATAACTCCGATCATGTGACGGCCTCCGGTGAGAATATATCACATGATTGCTGGCAGCAGTATCCAGTGATGCTGGCCTGTTTGTCTTGGAGTGTGGTCTTGACTTAATACCCTCATGTCTTGGACCCTTGCCCGGTCGCTTTTTGCCGATATTATCCGTAGTTTTGTACGAACTGAGTTTGGGGGGAGTCAAATAGTCACTTATCCTTGTTTTTTCCCTCCCCCGTAGCTTGCCATCATGAGTAAATCCACTCTCCAATCCATTCCCCTTAAAATCAGATTTGAAAAGTTGTTCAATTGCAGCTACCGACAGCCCCGAATTTTTTACTGGCTCAACAGCTCGGAATTTCGTCTCGGAATGATGCGCCTCGAGGACATCCCTACCGTAACCATTCATGGCAGCCCTGAACCTGCTGAGATCACTCTTCAATCTCTCGAGCTCAGCGATATCCCCATCCGTCAGGTTTCTCACTCTTCTATCGTTATTCCACTTGTGAGTGTTGTAGATCGTCCTCAGGGACTCCTTGAACATCTCCTCCGCGTATTTTTCGAGATCCGAGCTGAGTTTTGGTTTGGTGACGAGATCGAGTTGAGCACTGGGTGAATGCTTGTCGAAATTGCCACCTGGAACGACGGGGACGAGGCTCAACTCCTGGGGCAGGGGCCTGGGCACGTGAACCTTGCTGTTCAGCATTGTCTGACTCTTTATCAAGTCCCAGTTCGGTACAAAATTCAGGGGATTAAACATTCCCTGATTTCCCTGATTTCCTTGATTTCCCTGATTCCCATGATGCCCTACATTTCCCTGATGCCCTACATTTCCCTGACCCTGTGAACCAATCTGCGTCAGGGAATCCACGTAATTCTGGATGGATTCTGTGCTCGTGACAGGTCGAGGTGTCAAAAATCCAGTTGTACTCAATATTGGAATGGGAGTTGTCAAGACAGTCGCGTAATGATTGACAGTTTCAAGAGGATTAACGACAGTCAGGTCCACAGGACTCGGCCTGATCCCCGGACTTATATTCGGATTTCTTATCTCCACCGTCTGCATCCCCACCGTCGGCAGCTGTCCCTGCTCAACGTATCCTCCACCAATTTTTCCATCATTAATTGCATTAACATTATTATTACTCGTACTCCCCTGACTGTCAACACTGTACAACCCCTGGTACCGGTTTTTATCACCTGCCACCTGAAATTGCTGAAGCCGCCAGTTATCCCCGGGTGTCAACGAACTCTTCGGCAACTGCGCCAGGTACTGGGTCACCGGTGTTTGAGTTATCTGTCCGTTCTGATTGATCAGATCAACTCCGGACATTCCACCGCCTGTGTGGATTATCGCTGGGACAACTTGAGCTCCTCTGATCACTGGATACAAATTTCCCGGGATCTGAGACCTCCCGGGGGCTGGATTATTCACACTTCCTGCTGAATTATTATCTAATGTCTGTCGATATTTATCAAGATTATTACTGTTGTTGTTATTATTAGTATCACCTTGACTGACGGATAAATGGGCGGTGGTCAGGATGTGAGTGTTATCCTGGTGATTTCCCAGGGAATTCTGAGGGTGTACGTCACCTTGACCCCGATTAACGATAAAATTGTAATTGTTATTGCTGAGTGGTGACTGGAGTAGAGTGTGAACGGTTGATTGAGGGAGAAATAGCTGCGGCCCGTATTGATTTCCTGGAGTTGCTATTTTTGGAGATTGAGTTGGGTGGATGGTGCGGACGGTGGGGGAGTACTGGGTGATGGTGAACATCGGGGTTACGGTACTTGCTAGGTACTGGGTTTTCATGGGGGGGTACTTGATGGGCTGGGGTAGGCCCATGGGGGGGATGATAACTGCTTGAACGGGACTCTGGAAGGTGTTTTGTCCGATTATAACGTCGGGAATTGAGGTGGGGTAGTTTTTCATGGGTTGTAGCTTTTGGTGGTGCAATGCGGTGGGGGTGGTGATGAGGGGGGCAGCTGTACTGGGGAGGATGGGATAATTACCCAGGGGGAGGAGATTCAGGTTGACCGGGAGGATGAGATTTGGATTCTCCAGTTGATTCAATTCGTAACCCTGGGATTGGGACAGCTCGACGTTCGGTGCTACCTGGGACCAAGTGCTCTGGGGACTTGTGGGAATATTTGGTGGATCCTCTGGGTTTGGATTATTCGGGGAATCATCTGGTGGTGATTGAGACTCCGTCCAGTATGTCTTCACGCGAGCACGCGATTTTCCTCGTGTTTTTTTTGAATCCTCGGTGGTGGGTCGTCGCGACTCCAGACGCTTTCGGGATTTGTTCACTCTTTTTGGACGCTCGGTTATCTCCAGGTAGTCAGAGCTGATGTCGGAGTAGTCCTCTTTTCTGTCGTTGAGGTATTTATTGACACCTTGGGGATTACTTTCGTACGGGTATGTCGATACCTCGCCGATACCCTGGGTCGCTCGGTGAGCCGTTGGTTCAGGGATCACCACGGGCCTCTGCAGGTGTCGATTCTTCGGGGGATCGCGTGGGGATTTTTTTTCCGGTTTTATCATCGATGTCTGGCCCTCGAAGGTTGAGGATCGTGGAGGCACTGGGTTATAATTGAAGACTTGGTACTGCGGGTAATTGTTGTGGACTTTCTCGGGCTCGAAGACCGAAGGCTTCAGGGCGTCCTGGGGATTCGGAACTTGGGGATAATGATTTGCTCGTACGTACATCGGATCCAGGCTCGAGTAGTAGTCGTCGATCTGTCGAATGGGGTCGCGCGATCTCGAGGAGAATTTATTAGGATCTCTCGACGGGTGCATCGTCTTCTGGAGGTTCGAGTAGAACTCCTGGTAGTTGGCTATTGCTGGGGTGTCGTTGTTGACTTTTAGAATCTCGAAGTCGTTCTGGGATTCTTGGAAGGAGCGACGGATGGGCCCAGTGTTGGGGAGCGTCAGCAGGAGACGAGCCTCTGGTGAAAACACTGGGTTCCGGGGCCAGTGGATCGGGGTGGAATTTTTTTGGGCCTCTGGGGATTGGGGAGACGTGCTCGGGGGTGGGTAGTTCAGCATCGGGACAAATCCGTTTGAGTTTTGGTACACGATTGGGCCAGGTGAGTCGGGACTCTTTGGGGATGCCGACCCAGAGGCCTGAGCTATCTGGTCGATCATTCCCTCCGGGGGTTTCTTCTCCTCCGAGAGGGCACTTCGCCAGCAGAGGAGTAAAATTATCTGGAATAAAAATCGACGTCAGAGGAATTTCTAACGAATTCCACAGGAATTTTATTAAATAAATTATTAGCTTAAAAAAATCATGTCAAAAATGGATGACCTGAGGCCTCAGGAAAATTTATCGCTGAGAAAATAATAAATATTCTCCATCATTTTTCCTGAACATCTAATTACAATTCTTGAAATAATCGAGTAATTATCCTTCTGCGATTGCGAAGAGAAAAAATATATATTCCCCCCAAAAAAAATTCACTGGCTTATCAATAAAAGATGGATGACAGAATTATTATCTACACCCATCACTCCACCCCCCACAAGTAATTGTTATTAATAATCCCGATTAATATTCGATCCCGTTGTTTCTGAAATCCTGAAAATTCTGGGTGACTCCCCGATTTTTTCCTGAGCGATCTTTAAAAAAATTCGGAGAGTCAGAGGGACTGAAAAAGGAACTGAAAAGGGAATTGAAAAAGGAACTGAAAAGGGAATTGAAAAAGGAACTGAAAAAGGAATTGAAAAAGGAATTGAAAAAGGAATTGAAATCGATCAATGACAAGTGCTAAAATAAAACGAGTTCTACTCACGGAAAGCGACAACATGTTGACCGATTCCTCAAAAAATTGTTGATTAAAATAAAAAAAATGGATTTCGCGCACAATTTATTGAACACATCTGACAGTCATTGACCCAGCGACACTGTGAAATCCCAGATCCTCCCAGTCTGAACTCCACACAAGAACTAAGGCACATAGTGGATATGCGATTTTCTTTATACACTCTGGTAACCAAGTGAAAAATATCGTTCTAAATATTATCCTATAGTCCACCACCTCGGATACTTTCATTCGTGACACGCGACCGCTGTTGTAAAAGTCTTGTCCACAAAGTTAAAAAAAAAGTATCGAAGGATGCACTGGATCACTGTTATTACGTTAACCATCCAGCAGAACCCAACATCGATGATTACCAGGAATAGATCATGAAGTTTTCACTCAACTTCTAGGATAGATTGATGAATTTTTCCGAAGAATTTCCCAGAATTTTACAGATGATAATTTCAATCGCAAGTTTCAGCTTCCGGGGCTGGTTTTTCCCCGTTGATGGATAAAAAATTACCGGATTACTGTCACTCCACGGGTAGAAGATAGAATGGAATCTTGGGAAGAGCTGTTTGCAAACAATTGGTCATTACTTTTCCAATTGTTACATCTATTCGCTCTGAAACACACGTATTACTATTGAGCAGTAGGCACGTGGGATTGGACCTATCGTACCGTGCAACAGCAGATATACTTTTTATACTAATACACATTCAGTGGCTCCAGCACTTTGTCCATTAAAATCTGCCTGGTAATTGCTCGTAAGACCAACGGTTTTTGCGATACTCATCGGGATTTACAATGTGAAAACATTAAATTAACGCTCCGGGGGGCGATTAACTAGTGAGTTTATTTATGAAATTGTTGAGGTTTTACTATTATTCCAATTTCTCATATCTCATTGGTATTGATTGACCGTGGGATTCACCCAGAAACCGTGAAAATTGTTTACTTTGATCAATTATTATCGAGAAGGCCTAGATTTTTTTTGGTCGACGCAAAATTCAAGAAAAATTCGATATAAATTGGAATAAATCAAATCAATGAATACACACAGTATAAAACATAATAAAATTTGATAAACAATTAAAATCTCTGATTGATAAACTTTTTTTATCCATTATCCCCTGAAAGTCTAGTAGAAATTTCAACAATATCGTTTAGCTTTCTGTAATTATCACTGGAAATTCACGTGTTCGGTACGATTATTATTTCAATAAAATTCACGGAAAATTATTGTAATAACTTTCCCTCGGTGCAGAGCTTTTGTTGGCCTTGAATGAATTAATCCCCTCGGGAATTACGGTTTATTCGGAGTTATAAACTGTGAAAATGATGAATCGTACTCATTTAATCTACGCAGCGGGTGAAAATATCTTGATGGAGTCATTAAAACAAATTAACGAATACACCATTACCAATGGAATTTATTAGAATAAAAATAAAAATACCGGTTTACATTGCACGTCCCCATGTTACATATATACACTAATTGCATTCACAAATTATGTCGAGGGTCTCTCGATCTTATGAGAATAAAAATAGGATTCACAAGTGCGCAGGTAATTCATACACAAGTACTTTCGCCATTTGCAAGCGATAGAAATATTTTTAAGATGTAAAAAAATTAGAAAGTCGTTGATTGAGGGAAATTCCGGAAATCATTGGTAATCGTAGCTATCAATTTTCATCGTTGCAATTATTTTTTGAGGGATCAATTTCCATCATGAAT